CCGGTTAGGCTATTTTACTATAGCTTATTCCTCCAATAATCCCCATGTAATCAAAGGAAGCAAGCATCCTCTACAAGGATCTATACCTGGTAGATCCTTCCTTGCAGACAGGAATATTTCATCTTTGAGCTGGAGATGAACAAGCCTGTTTTTAAGACTCTACATGACAGCAAAATTGATACTACTTGAAACCAAATGCTTCACAATGGCAACACTAGGAGGCTGTGATCTGTGCAGAGAGCATTAAAGACTAAAAATGAATCAAATATATCTATTTTACAAGTAAGTGAAAGAAATTACAGAGTGTACCATCACCATGAAAGTCTGTTACCAACGTTACTGGACTCTGACATCCGTAAAACTATGAAAGATGTGGATTTTCTGACAGCATATAGTTTTGGTTTGTATATCTATCTTGCAAACCCCTTACTCTACTTGGATCATTCTGGCTTATTGTCTTTATCAAGCTGTTTCCGTAGGCAAAGCACAGCAAAGAAAAGTCATATGCCATCTTTCTTCCAGATAAGATTGTGAATAGCAACAGGTAACTCTTAATAAGAAATCAATTATAATAAAGAGATTTTGGAAATATTTGTCATACTGTAAAGAAAAAACCTTTTTTGCATGCTCCCTTATTCCTTCATAAATCAACAGTGTTCCGTCTACAAAAAATGCATAGGCAGTCACCTCTAATACAAGTACTTATATGTTCCCCTCATCCAGCATTTTGTTGACCCCATCACAAAGTTTTTGCAAATGGAGTTTATAAGGTCCAAAGGGATTGTACAAGGCAGCCAAAAATTCACAATCAGAGAAGTGATCAAACACATTGTTGACGCGTCCGTGTGACTTTGAAGTTAGGTGACGCTGAATGATTTCATGAAGTAGCTCTCTGCAATCATTTAAGAGTTTGGACAAAAAGTTCCTGTCGAAGGTATAATCCACCTGATGGAAACTGACCACGGTCTTAGCCAGTTGATGAACTTTCTTCTTGAATTTCTCCATTAATGCTATTTCATCCTGATTGAACTGGTTGTTCCTGTAGAGAATTGCCAATTTGAGGACTATTTTAATGAGGTTTTTGATGATTTTCTCTGCTTCCTTTTTATTCTGTGTATATTCCTTCGTTACTCTGTAAAGTTCATCTAAAACATCACTGCTTGTATCATCGATCAAAGTAGTTGCTATTGATTTGGACACCATTTTTCCAAGGATCTTCTTCTGGGCCTGAATGGCCAGACTCTTGGAGTTGAAGACATCTGTGGCCACTAGGGAAAAAAAAAAGTATGCAGTCAGTACTTCATAACAGACATTCTCTGGACAGCAAGTTGAAGAATATTTCCATTTCTATTAATTTCTGTTAGTCTTACTAAATGCTACAAAAATAATGCAATGCATTTGCAGAAAACTCCATCTTTTAAATCCCTGAAACCGTTCTCTTTAGGTTTGCGTTCTTTTAGACTGTTTTACTTTTGAGAAAATACAAAGAGAGATGGTTTAAAAGAACATTCTGTATACCGATTGATGGGATTTCAAACTGAGGCAACAAACCTGTCCTGTTTGATCAGGTGAGTCATAAGTCTGATCTGGTACTCACATTAATAATGAAATCTGAAACCGTGACTATCCCAGTGTCATGACAATTAATAACTCCTACTCAAATAGAGACAGTAATTCAGTGAATCAACCATTATGAAGCTTTTTCCCCGCTTAGTATTTTACATGATCAGTGAATCCCACACATCTATTAAATATTTTATCTATTAAATATTTTAGATATGTATTTTATACATATCTGTAGATATGCATATAGAAATATAAAAGAATGACAAAATACTTCTGTCAGCAAACAATACTGAGATTCGCGACAGTAATTCAGTGAATCAACCATTATGAAGCTTTTTCCCCGCTTAGTATTTTACATGATCAGTGAATCCCACACATCTATTAAATATTTTATCTATTAAATATTTTAGATATGTATTTTATACATATCTGTAGATATGCATATAGAAATATAAAAGAATGACAAAATACTTCTGTCAGCAAACAATACTGAGATTCGCCGGATGCAATGAAGCTAGTT